GTTAATTTGGTAAGGTTGGTACTTCTGATTGTGCGATGCATTGTGTAACCAATATGATGTATTCTGTACAGTATATCACGTATAGATACTGCATAGAAATTAGCAGGGATCACCCTTGTAAATGAGTGTTATTCTGAATTCTTGGTCCGGTGTGTCATATTATATAATACCGTAAAGGAGCGGAATCTAGTTTTGACTGCATTGTCTGCCCGCACTGTCTATAAACACTTGCACTTTGTACACCTGCACCTTCATTGTAGCTACATTGTCTATATACTTGGTCTTTATATACATTGTTTTATACTATCACTAAGTACACGTAGTAGGCAGTTATCAAACAGGGAGGTACTACCGCCTGGGAAGATATTGGAAGCATAATGTGTCGTCTAATGGTAGACCCTGCTGCCATATGGCATCACGAAAAATTGTGACCAAGTCCCAGGTTGCTGATTAAACTGACTTTCTGCCTCATTTACACAATTACAGGGTCTCAATTATTTCTCACACTTTGACAACGCAACATATAATATTATAGCGTTTCTCACTCTTGATTATTTGACGTTTTTCATTTCTGAATTTATGGTTCAATTCTCAATATTGCCCCCACCCCCCCCCCTCCAGGCCCCGATGTGGGTCGGTGTCCTCTGCCCGGGTTGGCTAATTCCCGGAAAAGTCAATTAAAATTTGTATAACGATTTCCGTGAATTAAATTTTATATATCCATCTACCTATCAAACTCTAAATGCCTACTCCAACACACAGTATATTTCATTTGAAAAGTTTTATGGCTTGTTTCATATGAATGTTTGCTTCACGTAGCTATGACAAGGAAATATCACCCTATATTAATTTCTTCGCCTGAAAATGGAAAAAGTCGATGACAATTTTATAACTTACAATGATATGAAGAAATAACTGTCTTCCAAATTTTACGTTTCCTCCCATTGCTTTTCCCTTTATTTTCAACATACTATAGACGTTAACTAGAGCTCTAAAGTGAGTGACAGGCAACGTTGCTAGGTTACTGTAGGCTGACTAGGCCTATACAATGACTACACTCTACTGTATACTGTAATTGCACCATGTTCGTTATTGTTATGATTAATAATAATAATAAAAATAATAATAATAATAATAATATTATTATTATTATTATTATTATTATTATTTTATTATATATACACACACACAGAGGTGAAAAGTTAGGTGAACTTTTCGTCCAGGAGAAAGTAAGAGAAAAGAGAAAGTGAACGGAAGAAGAAGACTCGGCAGTGACCGTGATAATCTTTGACACGAAGAAGCAGAAATATTTGTGAACTAACTCTCTTACTACACGGATATATATATATATATATATATATATATATATATATATATATATATATATATATATATATATATATATCCGTGTAGTAAGAGAGTTAGTTCACAAATCTAAATGAAAATATAAGATGGAATAAGTAAATAAGGTAATAATAATAGAAGATTTTGAATTAAGAGAATGGATATGAGTAGGGAGAGAATAATAATAATAGAGAAGAGAAAATAAGCTATATAACCAGGGGCAAGAGAGAGTGAAGATGTTACTGACAAGATCTGGAAAGCAATGGTTATAAGAGGAAGAAAGAAAAAAGAGAGAAGAAAAAAGAATGGTTGAGAAGAAAAGAAATGAGATAAATATAAAGAGAGGAAGCAGTGAGCTAATAAAAATTTCTCTTGTTTTGTAGTTGACGCGCGGTATTATGGTGACGTGCGATAACGCCAGCTGACTATGACTTCTCATTTATTGACGCAAACCTTCTAATTTTCGTACGGTATTTGAGATAAGGCAATCTCTTTAAACGATAAAGGGATAACTTATAATACTTGTGAGTATTAATAACACGTGTTTCAGTGTCCGATTTACATTTTTTCTTTTAGGTTATTCAAAGTACAAAACTTCCTCAATGTTGAGAAAATACAACGAACACGAGCATAAAATTTTAGTCGTTATTTTTTAAGATAATCAATTGGAACGATCCTAACTTAATTGAAATAAACCTTGCGCCACTGAAAATTATTTTAAATAGGTTAGGTTAGTTTTCGTTGATTTTGTTGACCTTAAAAAATTTTACCCATCCCAGTTCAGTTAATATAATTTCGTTAAACTTGTGATATCATACTTTTACATTATTTTATCCTCTTCGCCACTAATCGGTTCTATAGCCGCTTGGGCGGTCGGTCAGGTCTCTGTTACGCACTGTTGGCTAGTACTGGGCATGTAATGGCTCCTGAATGTGCCTGAACCTGTTCCAGTGTTGGTCAAGTCTGGTCTTGAAAGAGCTCACACTCGGTGCCGTCACAACACTCTCTGGTAGATTGTTCCAAGAGTTTTCAGTTCTATATCACCAGTGATAGATAATGCAATCGTCACAATAGTTCACATAGGTTCATCATGTATTGGATATAGATATATGAACAATGGTAATACGTAGTAAGTCTGATTATTGAAAGACCAGGAACACTAGTAAAAGCTGTTTCACTGAGATTAATAAATTTTTCAAATACCTTTTACTGTTATCCTCTTCGCCACTGATCAGCTCGTTAGCAGCTTGGGCGATCGGTCACGTCTCTGATTACTTTCCTTTTCATTTATCTTCTTCACCAAAAGATCGGCTCGCTAGCCGCCCGGGCGATCGGTCACGTCTCTGTCACGCACTGTTGGCAAGTACTGGGCATGCACCGGCTCCTGAATGTACCTGAACCCGCTCCAGTGTTGTTCAAGTCTTGTCTTGAAAGAGCTCACACTCGGTGCCGTCACAACACTCTCTGGTAGATTGCAACAAGAGTTTACAACAACACTCACTCCGAAAAAGCTTGCCCTCACAGTTTTCTGGACTTGCTGCTTCTTCAATCTTGAGCTGTGACCCCTTGTGGGGCGAGAGTCCGTCAGCTCCAAGTAAGGACACTCAACTGAGTAGTGCCCCCTCAGATGCCTATATACCTCAATTAGGTCCCCCCCTTGCCCGTCTGTAGTATAAGCTCGGCAAGTTCAGGCGCTCCAATCTCTTAGGGTAGCTGAGGTGCCGAAGTGCAGGCACCAGTCTGGTGGCCCTCCTTTGAACATTTTCAACCAACTGACAGTCCCTAGCATATCTCGGGGACCAGACGGGGTGACAGTACTCCAGTCTCAACTAGTGCAGTTTCTTCATCCCATTGGGACATATGATACGCCTCCTTACAATTGGTACGCCCCAGGTGCATCCTCTTACACTTGAATCTCAGCAGCCATTTCTTCGACCATTCCTGTAGCCCACAGAGGTCCTTCTGCAGCTCTTCACAGTCTGCTTGGTTCTTAATTTCCAGAAATAACTTGGCATCATTGGCAAACATTTGTATGGAGGAGTGTACAACGTCAGGCATGTCATTTATGAAACAAACAAACAACAGCTGGCCCAATACACTGCCCTGTGGTACCCCACTTGTGACAGGTACGGATGACGATTTCGTGCCATTAATCACCACACACTGTTTGCGGTCATGTAGAAAGTCTTCTATCCACGCTTGGACATTTCCCCGAATTCCGTAACCTTCCAGTTTGATTTTCAGCCTTTCATGGGGTACAGTGTCGAAAGCCTTGGCAAAATCTAGGTAAATATTGTCGATATTACCACCCAGTTGCAGAATATGGGTCCAAATATCCAATACCTTGAGCAATTGTGTTAAGCAGGAGCGCCCCGGCATAAAACCGTGTTGGCAATTCTTTACAAGGTTGTTTCGTATTAGATGTTCCATTGCAGCATCTCTGATAATACTCTCAAGTACTTTACATATTATGCTGGTCAGGCTCACCGGTCTATAGTTGTTCGTGGAGTGACGATCGCCCTTCTTGAAGATAGGACTCACATAAGCCACTTTCCATTCACCGGGGACCATTTGTTCATCCAGGCATTTACAAAACAGGATCTTCAGGGGCTCTGCAAGCTCGTTGCACAACTCTCTTAGTACTCTAGGATGCACCATGTCAGGGCCGGGACTCTTATGGACCTTTAGCCTGGACAGTTTATTTCTAATACCCTCTTCTGCGAACACAATGTGGGTCAGTGCTGTGTCGAACTGTCTGTCCTCAAACGCAGGAAGGTTAGTTGCATCCTCTCTTGTGAACACCGAGGAAAAGAAGTTGTTCAATGCCTCAGCTGTATCCTGGTTGTAGAAAATCTTAATGTTGTTTATTTCTGAAAGGTTAACACAGTGAAGTGGAATGAGTCTAAAGGAATCTAAAATAGAGTAAAGGACGAGGCAAGAAAGATAAAATTCTCGTAGACGCCGAGGACAACATGCCTGATGTCACAGCATGAGCAGGGAAACTGACCAATGTTACACAGTACCACGAGCATCACCATAAAGAAAAATACAATATGTATTATTATTATTATTATTATTATTATTATTATTATTATCATTATTATTATTAGTTATTGTACGTTATCTGAACTTCACCTAGCCTATCCTAAAGTTTTTATCACATTTCTTGATCCGTTCTTTTTGCACTGTACAGTACATGCTGAACTAATAATGTAATTTAATAGAACAGTTTAACTGAATATTTATATAAATATTTATCTCCATATCTAAAGTTCCTGGGTGTAGAGTTATTAATTTAAGGTGGGTTTGGTTGTTGTGATTCTTGTCTCAAAATAAATTGATTACCACTGTCGAGGTCTGCTCGTGGTGCATTATTAACATGGCCAATTTGTGTGGGTGCCAGATGTCGTCATAGCAATCTCAGATTTTCTTTTGCATGTCTTAGTCTTTAAACAGATTTCCGAGTTAATTTAACAACTTGATTTGGGTTTGAAAGCAATTGTCTAATTACGATAATGTCACAGTGCCTTCTTTGGTGACATTTTGGCCTGACAGACGCCGCCAAATTCTCTTAAGGGTGAAAAAATCGAACGTAGTGTGCGAGCCTCTGAGGATATTGGGCAGTGTGATGCGCAAGTCTTAATGCAGCAGAGTGAGGCAGCTCGCTCGCTCCTGGCTGAGTCCTGGCCTGGGACAGTGTCGGTGCTACTGGTGGAGGAGAAGGAGGTGGAGAAATAGATTAAAGGATAATCATCGGAAAAAGTGAACAATCCCCAACCGATTATACTGTAATATAACAAAGGTCATTGGAGCCTAGAGATATGATGGTGATCTTTATTGGCACAAGAAGAACACTGACATTGATAGAGATCTAACAAGAACGTTTCTAAATGTTCTTTATAACGTTATTTTTATACAAGTTATATAATCAATACTCGTGGTGCTAAACTGGCGGGAAGGTACAAAAATAACAGAAAAATAATATAACCAATAGTCACAAAACCAACTTGCGTGGACTGTACATTCTAACGTCAGTGGACAATAACCAGAGTATGGCCCTCAACCTAACCAAGTACCTGCCTGGATGGAAAGCTCTGGGATAATTAGTCTTTTTTTTTTACAGTCTTGTTCTAAGCAATGATGGGTGTTGGTGGGGGCAGGAGTGGAGTGTGGAGGAGTGGAGCCAAATGGATCTTCCAGCAAGGCGACCCACACCCTTTTAAAGGTGATGACTGTGGTGGCTGGGGGTGAGGTTAGGCTACGCTTGCTGTAGGCTGTGATAGTTCTTTGGTAGTCCTGTAGTAGTCTTGTAGTTTATAGTAGTCTATAGTAGTCCTATAGTCTACAATAGTCCTGTGGTTGTCCTATAGTCTACAATAATTCTAGTCTACAGCAGTTCTGTAGTCTACAGTAGTCCTGTAATCTACAATAGCCCTATAGTCTACAATAGACCTATCGCAAGGTTGGTCACATATAATACATTAAGTGAAAACGATCTATAGGATTTATAGTTAAATTTTATGTTTATCCAATGTTTCCTCTTTACACACACACACACACACACACACACACACACACACACACACACACACACACACTCAGGGTGTTGGCCGCGGTTGTGACTGCTATAGTATAGTGTACCGCTCTAACTTACAGGTTATAACGTTAATATTTGATTATATAGATAAAAAGAGAGAGAATGACACAGGCAGACAGACAAAATGAGAGAGAAAGAAATTTACGAGTGCCAGATTTAATTTCTCAATGTCTGATCTGATGTCCGTGTGAGTGTTTTTGGTCCCATGTTCGTGTAAGCTTAAACCGTTGTCCGTGAACGTGTAAATAAGCTGACAATAATCTTTCCAGGTCAGTTATGAGACAGCTGTACATCTCTCTAATATATCCGTGTATGTTATCCTTCTCTGAATTTGTTATTTTTGTTATCCTTCTCTGTATATGTTATCTTCGTCATAGGAACATAAGACTGGAGGAAACTGCAACGGGCCATACTGGGCAGTCCCGTTTACACCCAACTTCTATCACTCCTATATCCACCCAACCTATGTTTGAAGCTATCCAGCGAATTCGAGTTAATGATAATGTTTGGTAACTTGTTCCACTCATCCACTACTCTTATTTCCAAACCAATGTTTACCTATCTCGCGCCTAAATTTAAAATTGTCTAATTATCCTTCTCTGTGAGGTGAGGTGAGGCTCAGACACTATTTCGTCGTCTGCAATTCTCAGGCAACGTGAAAACATCCTTGATATTTCCGTTTCCGCGCGCACAAGTCCTGCCGGGAGGGAAATTCCAATAAATTAATTGTCAGAACAGACATAGTAGCTGGGGCAGTGTAGTGTTGTCGATGCGTTCGTAATGGAAGGAAAGATTTTAAGTACAATATTTATCTTTTTGTTGTAATATTAACTCCCATGTTCCTTCCTCTTCATGCTACAATCTCGGCGGGTTTTCGGTGTATTTTGACGGGAAGAATCTCAATAGGTCTGGCAGTGGGAAGAGTTCATATAGATGGTTTTTTGTACAGACGACCCAACGTTGGACGCAGAGGAAAACATCAAGGAGACACTTTATTGTGAACTTGATAGAATGATAACTTGTGTCTCCAAAGAAGATAAGGTGTTACTCATTAGTAACCTCAACAACGCCAGGGGTGGGAAGGATATCGGCCTGTGACAGGGAACCATTGGCATACACTGAGTGTTCAAGTTTAATAACTGCCGACCTGTTCCCCCTCGGTAAATATGCCGAACACAACCACTCCTTCAACAATATTTTGTTCAGGCAGCGTCGCAAGTTCAAGAGCTCTTGGCAACACCTACGATTCAAACATTAGTGCATTATTGAGAACATCGTTATCCGAGAAAAAATTGCCGAGATGAGCTCATCACTAGAGCCAAGCGGACCTTATACCATTGTGAGACAGATCATCGTCCCATCAGAGCCAAAGTCTTCCTTCACGTTGTTGTAAAACGGCGAAAGCAACAAGCTGCTGGAAGGAGATTCAGTGTTATGCAACTTGAAGGTCAGGAGGCGGAACCTATTATTAAGGAACATCTCCACGAGAGGCTGTTGAACGCCCCGATAACTGATGACTTGGAGTAAATACCAAAGATGTGCAGTGAGGCCCTCGGCCAGTCCAGAAGAAAACATCAGGATTTGTTTGATGACAATGACCGAGAAATCCAGTTACTCATCTCCGGTAAACGTCTTGCCTTCATGACTGGAACAACAAACCTAAGTCGCAGATCAAAGCTGCTACGGACGCTCCGTCAGCGGAAGGCGATGGTCCAGCATAAACTTGAGGAGATGAAGAACACATTCTGGATTATAAAAACACATGAAATGCTGAAGTTTGAAAATTGACACCAGATATAAGAGTTCTTCATTTCCACCAACACTGTCTATGGTCCAACAACCAACGGTGTGGGTCCACTTCACTCATCTGATTAAAGACCAATGTACTGAACTAGCTGTGGTGAGATGTCAAAGCTGGCACTTGTTTGAACTGTTGTTCCATCGCTGACACCTTTGATGCAGCTGAGTGAGATGTTAGATATTCCCACGGCTTGTCACCTTTGATACAGTTGTAGATTAGTTGATAGTTGGAATCGTCACAGCTGTTCAGTGTTGTACTTTTAGTTATCTTAGCTTGTAAGTTAAACAAGACCCATTTGTAGTTTTCGGTTCACTTGTTGTTCCTTGGTTTAATATAAACATACGTGGTGATTTTCTAGTTATATTGGGGTAGTAATGTCTGCACAATTATTTGGTATTGTCAGACTAATGAGCACCGGCTGTTAGCTTGTAATTAGCTGAGAGAGACAGAGCTACAGGTATACGAGTATATAGCCCAGAGAGCTTGTCTCGGGACAGATCTTTAGGGTATGGTGTCGGGCTATGAACTGGTGGCTGGAGAGTAACCTTACTTTAAAAGGCCATTAACGAAAACTATGACAAAAACAGAGGGCGGGGTGTAGAGGTTAATGGGCTGTCAAGATGGTGTTATCTACGCCAAGAAGGACGTCCCCTACCAACCTCTCGACGTCCCCCTTGAAGCCGACACTGCCGACATCCACGCCATCACAATCACACTAAAAGGTATGTCCCTCAATATTGTCACTGTCTATGTGCCTCCCTCCACCTCTACTGTACCTGTCCTACCACACCTCCACCCTCCTTGTGGGGGGCCTCAATGCCCGACACCCCAGTCTCTACTCCCAGGGGCCCTACCTAAACTCCCAGAGTAACTCCTGACTTTCTGACCTACAAACCACTGATGACCCTGTTACCAACACCTCTTCCCTCCCTGACCAGATATCCCTCCTCCTAGTGACAGGCCTGGCACTTGACATTATTAGGGACCTGCCACGCTTTGCCTTAAACTGATAAATTGTACCGGGAATTTCCCCCCCACACACTCATCATTCTGTCACTTTATGTAACTTGCTGACAAAACCCATGACCCTTCAGTCTTTTACGCCCTTAATGCACGAGTCATAAAGGCAAGCATGAACTACGCATGCTTCCCAGATGGGCGCTGTAAACGTTTTTGCGCTTCACCTTGTACAAGATGTAAGGGAGTGCCCAATAAACTAGCCCCCTCCGGGGCAAATAAAAATTAAACAAATACTTATTCTAGCTTAGATGCTCATTACTCTGGGTGATAGAATGTATAATGAATATATGTTATAAGCCCATATTTATATAATACTACCATCTCTATGTGTGACAGAAGCTAACACAATGCCATCCTTCAGTGCTGGAAAGAATACTATGCCATTCCCTGTTCAACTAAAACAGCAACGTATATATTCAGATTACTCAGCACCTGGAGCTGGACCACCTCAACAACCCTCCATCTTGTGACCAGGTAGCCACTGTCATGGAACTGTTGACAAATAACTAAGCCACCAGAGATGATAAGCACGATGACCCGCTTCCACTCTGTCCTGTGTTTCCACCAACTTAGTCTTCAAGCCTTCTTCCGTGTGTGTGTACGAGCGAACAATGATCAAGCGACGTTTACTTAACCCTTCCTCGAGTGCTAACTGTTTGTATGAACCTTGAACTATCACGTTTATTATTTTTATTGATTTGTTTTTAATGACATGCTACCAACTGTGTGTGTGTGTGTGTGTGTGTGTGTGTGTGTGTGTGTGTGTGTGTGTGTGTTTGTTTCATCTACCACCGGCGGTCGAACGGAAACAGTAGAGAATTAAGCCTCAATGAAACTTGCATACTGTCCGTCCGTCCGTCTATCTCCCGTCCGTCCGTCCGACCGCCCATCTCCCGTCCGTCCGTCCTTTATACCTTGCGTCCATCCATCCCTCCTTTTCCCGCCTATCCGCTCGTGTGTCTTGAGAACAAGTTGAGCTCGAGTTAAGAGTTTTGCCTCACTGATGCCTCCTGGAAACTATTTGGTGAGCTGTGGCAATCAATATTCTCCCTTTTCCCTGTGTCTGAGAGTTGTTCGCCAGTGTGAGAGAACGTCCGTCTGGCGGTAACTCATAAAAATTGCGACAAATTTTAAAAGGGTCATATCAAAGGGGTCATAAAACACACACACACACGTCCGGGCCATCAACTGTAAACTATAATAATTTGTATGTTCAATTCATGTTCCTTCTCCTTTCAGTAATGAAAGCTTTTGTAAAACGACTTTGTATGTAACAAGTAATTTTTGTCCATTATATATTTTCAGCCTTCGGGCCGCAGAACTCTTTCAATAAACTGTTAATTATTATATAATGATGATTACACACACACCCGCACGTACGCACATCTAAGCATTAATATTATTTAATTACTTCCTCTTTATCTTTGGCGGAACGGGTGTTATGACAATCAGTTTGATGAAGCAGTCAGTTAAGGTTTACATCCGTGTGGGAGTGGATGTTACGAGAAACCAGTTATTACGGACTGGGGTTAAGGGGGGGGGGTGACAGGAGTGGGTCACGATGTTGAATCACCACTAGTATTATCCTCAAAGCTGATTCTTGCCAAAGCCTGCATACCGGCCCTGCTGTCTACTATTCTATCCTATTCCACGTCATCTTATCCTATCTCATCCTATCTTATCTTATCTAATAAACTATAATAATAATAATAATAATAATAATAATAATAATAATAATAATAATTAGCGGTTTATTGAAAGAGCATGGCAGCAGGAAGGCTGAAAATATACAATTACAGAATTGGGG